CCTACCTTTTTGGGTTCCTTATTCTGAATTCTTTATATAAGTCCTTGAAAAGGTAGGTTCTGTTACCCTAAGGGTCCAAGTACCTAATAATCATATACTCTCCCAAATAGTAACCTACATAACTACTATCCGAAACCGAAGTACCTGATTATTGGGTCCTTTGGACCCTTGGGGTAGGGGCAGACTACCCTAGCCCAAAAAAGGTGAACCTTTTCAACTATGGTAGGATTGAATATAAACCACAACAGGTTAAAGGTTATCTACTCTGCCACGAAGTCTACTGTACTAGTGCAAGACCCGTTCCTGTAAGCCTCTGAACCCACCCAGCCCTGGAGTCTACACCCTAAACCCTAAGCCCTGAACCGGTCATAAACAACAGAATGGAGGTGGATGTATTTGTTGGTAAGGATCCTTGAGCGAAGGATCGTCCATGCAAGGTGGGGTCTAATGTAGGGGCCTTAATAATTGGAATAAGGCTTTGGGCTCCGTTGTAGTTTGAGAATATCATGAACCCGAAGAAATAATGTAGGTAATTATGTAGGCCCCTAGAATACACCATACGGGAATGCCTGTGCTGCTTTTCATGTTATGAGGCTCAAGGTCTAGAGGTTGAGGAGTTCTTGCTTCGAGTTCAGGGCTTAAGGCCTTTTCGGTTTGGGGAAAGCTTACCTCTATATGACCCTACATAAAGCCCAAAGTCCGGTTGGAACATGTATACTTCCTACAGAAGCCCTCTACACACCCGATATAAAGCCCGTACAACACCCCAAACCCCAAACCCTAAACCCAAACCCCCAAACCCTAAACCCAAACCCCTAAACCGTAAACCCTAAACACCCCCAACCCTGAACCCTAAACCCTAAACATCCCAAACCCTGAACCCTTGCCTGTCGCGTTCTTGAACTCTTTGAAGAAGGTCGGAGTGGGCCCAATCGAGGAGTAGTCGGTAAAGTTCCTCGAGCAGGCTTCGACTTGCCGGGGCCTTCCGTTTTTGTTGGAAGTCTTAGGGTTTATAAGGGTTTAGGCTTTAGGTGGGTTTAGGGTTTAGGGTTTAGGGTTTAGGGTTTAGGGTTTAGGGTTTAGGGTTTAGGGTTTAGGGTTTAGGCTTTAGGGCTTTGGGTTTCGGGTTTCGGGTTTAGGGTATGTGTTTTTTTTTGGGGAGGTTCCTTTCAAGGCGTACCTTTTCGAGAGCTGCAAAGGGTTTAGGGATTAGGGATCAGGGGTTCGCGGGGCTAGGGAGTTTGAGGGTGTAGGGTTTGGGGTCTCGGGAGATAAGGCCCTGACGGATCGACTAGGGCTCCTCATAGAAGGCCTCCTGCGGTTCTACAAGAAAGTAGACTAGGACCGGTACTTGTAGTTGTACCATAAAGGACCCCAAAACCCTGTTCTAACTATTAGAGCCCCTACATTAACTGGTGGTCAAGGCAGAAACCTAAGGCAAAACCGCGAAAGCCTGCACGCAACCGACTCTGAAGTCCCACAAGCAAAACCTTAAACTAGGTTTTCCTATAGTCTCCATTGTAGTTCTTTTTTTGGAAAACCAAACATACACATGTATATATATATATACATACATACATACGTCCCCCAGAAGGAACTACAATGGAGACTATAGGTAACCCCCTAAACCCTAAACCCCTAAACCCGACACCCTAAACTAGATCATCCGGGATTCAACTCTTCGAGGCCCGCCGAAACCCAACCTGGAACCCTTTGAACCTGCCAGTTTTAGGCTCCTGTTATTAGGGTTTAGGGTTTAGGGTTTAGGGTTTAGGGTTTAGGGTTTAGGGTTTAGGGTTTAGGGTTTAGGGTTTAGGGTTTAGGGTTTAGGTTTTTAGGCTCCTGTTATTAGTTATGATTTCCTTATCTAAATCCCTAAACAAGTAGCTTTGGGGGGATAAGGAAACCCCTGCTTTGTGATCACCAGGATTCACCATGCGTCTGAGGGCTCTGGGTTCTGGCATTTACGTGCTGTTAGGTTGGAAAGTTTGGAGTTTAGGGTTTGGGTTTCGGGGATGATAAACCTTAGACCTATCGCCCAAGAAGCCCGATGGTGTAGGGTTTAAGGGTTTAGGGTTGCCCTGGAGATCACGTTGCATCCTCACCTACATCGAACTTCAGTCCTAAACCAGGCGTAGGGTTTAGATTCAGGGTCCAAGCCCTAACCCTAAAGCCCCCCAAAAAAACCTCCTTCGCTCACATTCCAAGGTGCTGGGTGTGATGCCACTGGGAGGGCGCCAGAACATAGTCTCCTGGGCTTAGGGCTTGAAGGGTTTGGCGCAGAGAGTTTGGACTGGGGTTTCTGCCCTAAGCCCTAAGCCTTTGGGGTTTTCAAGCTCAGGGTTGATCTCCTTTGGCCCTTGCGAAATGCTGAACGGTTTGCGGATGGAGTTTAGGGGCAACTTAGGGTTTGAGGAACCCCTAAACCCTGGACCCAGAACCCTAAACCCAGAACCCTATTTTTTGGGGGGCGACTTAGGGTTTGACGAAACCCTACACCCAGAACCCTAAACCCTCAAACCTAAACTCAAAGTTAAGCCGGAATCCAAAGCGCGGAGCAGCGCGAGACTACGTGGAGAGAGATGCAGGGACTCACACGGGTAGTTCTCTAAACTAGGGTCCCTATTAGGGCCCTTGTCATAAAGGCGCCGTGATATTTCGGGGACTAAAAAGCGGACCCTAATTTGGAGAACGAGCCATACAGGCTTGGTTAAAACCCGAAGCCCTAAACCGCTCTGATTTTCTGCTTTTGCGCATTACTGATGATGCTAGATTCAGTTTGCAGTCGACACGCAGCTTCCGAAGTACAGAGACTGGAAGGCCGTATGGACGCTTTTGCAGCCGCATGGCTTAGAAGGACTTCAAGGTCCAATATAAGGCTTTCGGATTTTGGGTTTAAATAGAGTTTATAAGTTATAAGCCTTAGGGCTTTTGGGCTGAGAGTTTGTAGTGGGTAAGGCTGCAGTTGTGTGCCATATGAACATCGCAGACCCCGCTGCTTGTTATCTTTATGGGATCCTTGAGGGAGGGGATTCAAGGGGTGCATCAAACATAGTAATCCCAATTCTGCCTAGCACTCTGTTCCCTAAGGATCCCTAGTATCCTCTTGGCTGGAACTACCCTCCCTTCAGGATCGTCTAACATCTGCGCGGGATGCCGAATCCACAAAACCGCCACAGCCGGGCAACAACAACTCTTCAAAGACCTCTGGCAATGAGCAGTCTTAGCCGCAAACCCTGAAACCACAAACCTTGCTTTGAACTATCATACCCTGACTGTAGATGCCAAAGCCCTATTGTAGCCCCTACATTAAGATCATTAAGCCTAAACCCTAAACCCCTAAACCCTAAAACCCTAAGCCCTATTGTAGCTTAAAGGGTTTGAGGCTTGCAAGAGCAAGGCGCCGTCCGAATTGCCGTTTTCATCGCGTGGGAATTCCACGAGCCACTGTCCGGTGGTCGGCCTAAGCGGACGAACTTGGAGTTTTACCAGGGTAGTTCTCTAAACTAACAGGTTTAGGGTTTAGGGTTTTACCAACCCCCTAAACTCTACACCCTAAACCCTAAACCCTAAATCCTGAACCCTAAACCCTAAACCCTAAATCCTAAACCCTAAACCCTAGCCTTTAACCTATACAGGAGCTCTGGGGCTGGAGTGCCGAGACGGCCTCAGCATACGGGGCTTTCGGGCTTGGGGCCTTGGGCTTGCGGCTTAGGGGGTTAAGGGCGTTTAGGGTTTAGG